CTACAGCCCACTTCTTCGGATGCATCCGAAGAAGTGGGCTGTAGCCCACGAAAGCTTATGCTCTAATAAATTTGTTAGTCTCTAAGGTGCCACAAGTACTCCTGTTCTTCTTTTTAAAGAGAAGATGTTTCTTCCTTTCAATTACCCTGCTTGGAGCCCATCTTGTTCCCGCAGCTACCTTCCACCTGAACTCTCTCAGCCCTTTATAGAAAACACCTGACCCTTTCCCAGCCCTCTGATCATCCAACTAGGCTGTGTGACCCCAGAACCCCTGACCCTTAAAGGGGCAGACCACCCTATTATAGGGCCTTCATGTAAGTGGGAATCAGACCCATTATAGATCACTGAATTCAAATTTGGCCCCAAATTTAGCTTTTATATAAACAAGATTTTACAAACACCAAGACAAAAAAAATGATACTTAATTAATTATTCAGAATTCCAATAGGAGTCGTTTACTGAAAAACAGCCTCAGATTTAATGATCCAAGCACGCTGTGATCTTATCATGGGATCTACTGAATCTTATTGCCTGGAATCTTGCTGAAGTCAATGAGCCTTTGCTTGGGCATTAGGGCCCATGTTAGCAAATCCCACTGCAGGATCCCTGCCTATCTGAGTCTGAAATGTTAGGTCAAATTCAGAGGCAAGTCTGAGTCCAAGTTCATGTAAGTTCCACCTTCTTCTGGCTCCTTGACATGTAAGTGAGTCTCCTTTAAATCATCTTACCAATATGCAATTTTCATCCCCCTAAAACATCATTGCTGAGTTTGGCCTTTGGTTTTAATTCTGGGTATTAAATTACAATTCCCACAGAGTCAACACTGCAAGCCTGCATAAAGCCAGAGCATGTATGTGGAGTGTGTGTGTGTGTGTATTAAACCCATATGTGCATGTTAAACCCATTCCTAACCCACAGAATGGTAGTACAGGCCCCTTGCCACCACTCCTCCAGCCTATGGCCCACACAAGTGGCCACTGCCCTTCCACATCCCTTATAGGGGGTTTCCTGGCCACTATGTTTGCATGCACCCCAATGCTCTGCTCCATTCTGAACTATTCTAAGCCAACCCAGATCCCACCACCTGGGTGCTCAAGTGGTGCAAAAGCCCCTATCACCCTCTCAGCTCAATAATTCCTCATAGCTGAAGGGGTTCAGAGACTTTGTGAAGGCCCCAGGGATTGATTACCCAATAGGCAGACTAAGCACATGCTTAGGGCACCAGCAAAGCAGGGGCACCACACAAAGGGGGGCGTGTTAAATTTGATATTTCAAAAAAAGTCTCGAAGTAGTCATCATGGGAAAAATCAGAACTTTGTTAGACTTCCTTACACTCCACTACACACTCTCCCCCCATTTTTCTGTTCTCTTTTTATTACTTATCCCCACCTAAACCAGTAGGGCGTCCTACTAACGTAGATCAAAATAATGCGAGGAAATCAGAGACTAACTGATCATCCTACTCCTGGTGGTAAAACAGACATTGTTCTAGAAGGTGTGGTCAGAGACTGAACCTGCTCATGATGTAAATAATAGGAGAAAAGATCCTAGTATGTGGGTTGATTTCAGTACCGATGATGTAGCTTACTGGATAGATCATGGACCAAATGACTGTCAACACCACACTGGGCCATTTGAAAAATCACGTCGGACTTTTACCAATGGCAAACAAACAAGATATTGTCCACACACAAAAAATTTCGGCATGAAAGCGAATGGTGAGAAATACACTCGAGAATGGCTACTGTATTCACCATCAACAGGGTCGGTGTACTGTTTTGTTTGCAAAATGCAATTAAAATTGCATATAAAACTTGATCTGCAGCAAACCGGGATGTTGAATTTAGTGACTGGCAGAATACTGTTTTAATTGAACAACATAAAAATAGCACTACTCACAGAGATTCAATGTTGACATATTTAAATCGAAGACAGGGTTTTGGATTGACACAAAAGTTGGAAGAACAAATTAAAGGGGAGCGTGAATACTGGCAACATGTCTTGCAGCATGTTATAGCTGTTATTCAAACATTAACTGAATGTGGTCTGCCTTTCCGGGGATCAAATGACATATTTGGATCATTGCAGAATGGAAATTTCTTGGGATTGTTGGAGCTTGTGGCTCAGTTTGACCCATTTTTAGCAGGCCATATCTCAAAAAATGGGAATGCTGGCAAAGGTAACCCATCATACTTATCCAAGACAATATGTGATGAACTCATTGGTCAAATGAGTGACAAAGTTCGTTCAGCTTTTGTGGATGAAATAAGTACTGCTGGGCACTTCAGTTTCTGTCAACTCTACACCTGATCTTTCACATATTGATCAATTGAGTATTGTACTAAGATATGCATCTCCCACAGATGGAAAACCAGTTGAACGATTTATAACACTCCTCAATTTGAAAAGCCACACTGGTGAAGAAATGGCAAATCAAGTACTGCATTATCTGTGCCAAGTTTGCAAAATAGATTTCTCAAAGTGCAGAGGTCAATCTTATGACAACGCTGCCAACACGTCAGGGTGTTATCAAGGAATGCAGAAGAAGCTTTTAGAACAGAACAAATATGCCATATTCATACCATGTGCTGCACACTTTCTCAATCTTGTTGGCCGCAGTGCTGTTGATTGTTGTCCGATGGCAGTAAGGTTTTTCCTCAACAGTCCAGTTACTTTATACATTTTTCTCTGCCTCAACACACCGATGGACAGTTTTAAAAACATATTTGGGCAATGATTGTGTGTTGAAATCTCTTTCTAATACTCGCTGGGTGGTACATGCAGTGGCAACAAGTGCAATTCTGGAGTCCTACTCAAAGATTGTGAATGCATTAGAAAGTATAGCTGAAGACCAATCACA